ACGCTGCGTTTATGCCGGGACACTGATGCAGTTTGTGTGGGCGGCGGGAAACACAGCATTCTCCGTGTTCATGGTCAGAGAGCCCCTGAAAAACGGAAACCCTTTGACATCAGAATCAAAGGATCCAAATGGCAGTCTCCTTAACGGACTCAAGAGCAAGAAGCTCTCTATCAAGGTGAGGCGAGACTCCACTCCGTGTGGTTCTGTTCTATGACTAACAGAGTGCTAGTCTTTTGCCATGTGGGAGCTTGCTCTCATTGCTCGAGACTTTGAGGTTCGGCGACAGGCTATTTTTTGTGATATTGACCGCAAAGATGGCCCCATGTGGTCACAAGTCTATTCCATCTGCATGGAACTTCTGAAGCAAATTGAAACTCGTGTGGATGAGTATGGGAAAGCGCCGCCATTGGCTTTCGCACAACCCAATCCGGTCGTCGAAGCAAAGCAGCGTACAGCAGCTCCACTTCGGCAGGAAGCCATCTTCACTAAAAAGGGCGAGACGCCTGGACTTCTTGGCGGGGTTGAAAAAGCCTTGGACCAAATTGCCAGAACCCCTGGCTCATCTCCAGTATCTGAACTCAGCCCCTTGGCCAAAAAGACGTGGAGGGATGCCAAGGACAGAATGCTCACCAGGGAGCAGCAGGAAGCGCTGTCTCCTGAGCATCTGCGAAGCGAGTTTGGAAACTGGACGACTAGTCTTTTGAGAATTGGGTACATTGGCCGTCTGTTCCGTCACGACTTCCGGACTCGGATTGCCGGTGTTGTCCTGGGCACGCCATACGCTGAGCCCACTCTGTACACCAACGCTGCCCAAGCTCTTTGTCTGTTGGCAGTCCACAGTCTCGCTGAAGACCAGTTCGGGAACGTTCACAGAGATGTTCCCAGCATCATCCGCACTCTAACTGCTGTCATACGGAAGGTTGAAGGCCTACATCAACGCTTTCCATTGCACTGGACTGATCCGAGTGGTACCAAGGAGTCACCAGAAGTAGATCAGATCCTAGATGCTTTAAGGACCGGCTTGGAACAGGTCGTGGCAAAATTTGAGCCATACAGCAGCGATTTAAGACTATCCCTAGGAGATCTTCGCTTAGCTAAAGAAGCTATTGTGAAGCCTGAGAAGGAGGCTCCCGTTCCAGAGGAAATGGAACCAGTGGTAAAGCCAAAGACCATTGATGAAAAGAATGTAGAGCCGTCAAGGAACAGGCGGGAGTTCAAGCGAGCAGAAATGGAACAAGCACGATGAAGAGTGAGCTCGGGACTGGGCAGGCGCAAGGAGCATACCAGCATTCGATACCAAAATGGTAGAGAAAAAGTATTTTAACAGAGGAGATAGAGGGAGGAAAGGTGCCTCGAATACAGCATATTTTGCGAGTTGGTTGAAGCCACAAGCTATATCTCAGAGACCCTCTTTTTTTTTTTTTTTCCTTTTTTTTTTTTGTTGGCTTGCTGTTATGAGTTTTGGCAATGGAAGAGCTAGCCAAAGCGTGCTGGACACCGTCCGTGACATTGGTGACTGGGTGGTTGGCCTGACCCCAGCCGCGGCCCACTTGCTCAAAGCAGTGATCGACCTCACACAACTCAATCCATCCCGTCACACCTCAATGCTTCTCCTCCCCTTCCACTTTTCTTCCTGCTCCTGCTCGCAACAACGCTACATTCTTCATAGGGATTAGCAAAACTCCCCTGTAGCCATGCATCCTTTGTTCACTGACATTCCCGAGGCGAGATGCTAGATGCCTTGGTGAGCACCTCGACGAGACAGCCATGCAACACCGACGCCTCTTCTCCCGCTTCCTCTACGGATCGGTATACATCCTCTTGTACCTCGTACTCCTTGGCCTACTGCTCATTACCCCCGGCGATGCCATCGAACGATCTATTAGCAACGGCCAAAATTACAATGTTCTCATTGTGACGATATCGTACGTGGTGACGGTCGTTATTGTGGTCTTTATCTACGTCTTGCGACTGTATATTACAAAAACGGCCATTGCCGCGATTCCCAAGACCTGGGCGCCTATTGACAAGGGGGACGTGAAGGATGTTGTGTATAAAATGATTCATGGGGGCTTGAATCGCAGCGCAGCCATTGCGTTTGCGGCGCGACCTAGGGAACAGACTAATTTGGATGACGGGCTGGGCGGAAACGAAAGTGCTGAAGCGGGAGGTCGACCTGTTGGTGGGCTGAAGAAGACCAAGACAGTTGCTGAGGAATTGGATTTGCCGCTCCCCCCCAAGCGTCCTGTTTGGGGAGAGATTGAGCACCTTGGTTGGGCGTCGCCGAATTCGCCTGATCTGCGGAATCTGCAGTACAGCAGTGTTTTTTCGGAGCTGGCGAATCTCATTGAAGCCAAAGCTCTGACAATGGCCCCTATTGAGGAGCAGGGTTCGGGCGCAGATCCGCCGATGGTTGATGCCGAGGCGGCCAGGTTGTTGCAGCGCATGGCGAATATGACGATGCGAGAATACATACACCACCTCGTGAGTCTTGGCGTGATTATCGTGGACGAAACGGCTTCTCAGTTTCTTGCGCAGTACGAATACGCGCGCTTCTCCAACCGGCCTATATCTAATGAACAGTTCCGGTCCCTGATGCACCTGTTTGCTGAGATATTAAGGAGCGTGCAACCGTTGGATCTCAATTTCCTGAACTTTCCAGAAGACGCAAGCTACGGATGGGGCCCCTCGGAAAGTGACATTGATAACGACGCGCCACTGGATACAAATCCCCCTTCTCCGCGAAGCAGTATATCTCGTGCTGAGACAACAAGCACACACGACTCTGTGCGCCGACCGCCCTTGCGCACCCCCTCAGCCCAGGCGCGGAGTTTCCGAACTGCCCCCCATACACCGGGTAGTAGGACGGGTGTACTGTCTCAAAAATCGAGTGAGAATAGCTTTGCCCAGACAAGACGACAGTACCCCATCAGTCAGCCGTCGAGCTCGAGTCTGAGATCCAAGGCTGCGAGCGCCGTGAGTAGCAGCGACTCGGGATCCGTCATCCGTCTTGCCACCAGGGAAGATGATGAGCAGCTCCCGTATGTGCTAAATCTGAGACCGACGGAGGGCAGTTGATGATGGGACCGGGTGCAAGTTTCTTGTACATATTACTTTTTTGGACAAATGACGACGGAACGATGCTATATACAGGAGTGGTTGCACATTTTTCAGGGTAAGAATAAAAGACAATAGATGTACTTGCGTACTTTTGCAGCTCCAAACCGGCATGTTATGCAGGGTACCTTGTAGGATGCAACTTTCGGTTCAACAGGGTTGACCTGTCCGACAGTGCGAATGATACTTTGCGTTTTCTATTTTGAATCTAATCAAAAACTTGATATCTCATTCCACTGTGGCATGTTGACGCTCATCACGGCGTAGCGTTGGTACCAAGCAAGCTGTGCTTTCTTGCGCCGCGCAAATATGCAAGCTACCAGACAGCTTTATTTTTATCCGTCATCTGTTACCCACAATCTGCCGATCTGGTTGCCCCCACCTAAACTTTTTTGGTAACCCTCCAACTTGGAGCCCTGGCATGGTTATCCCGTCGACTTGTGTCTTCGCAAACCCCAATTGAAGCTGCAAACCGCGCTCTGCGCACCTTCAAACCTCCCGTTCCCACCGCAACCAGACACCCGTTTCATTTCTCGGGCGGCAGCAAACATGCCTGACAAGCCGTCACCACTGCCCGTGGCCGCCGACCGCCTTGCCATATCCAACCGTCTGTCCATGCTGTTCGCCGACCGCTCAGCGCTCATAAAGAAACTGGTTTCGCAGTCCTCGACGCCCCGAAACCCCAGCCGCCGCTGCCGCCCCTTGGACGACGACGACGACTTGTTCGCGGTCCCTGCGAACCAGGGTGTGGGATACGTCTCGGAAAAGCCGACCAGGGATGCGAAGCGGGAGGACAAGATGCTGCGGGGGAGAATGCTAGGCAAGAGAAAGGCCGGTGCGCCGGAGGCAAGATCGAAACAGGAGGAGAGCGAGAGCGACGACGAGGAAGGGAGGGGGTCGCTGGGGAAGAGAAAGCGCCCGGGGAGGGTGAGGCCGGATGAGCCTGCTGAGGCGGGCAACGGCACCGGTGATGGGCAAGGCGCGGCCGCCGAGGCTGAGGCTAACGCTGTGATGGACGCGCAGGAGAGCGCGCCGCAGATGCAAGATGATCGGCCGAAGGGGAAGAAGAGGAAGAAGAAGAAGAACAAGGGCAAGAACAAGGGCAACGGAAGTGGGGGATAGACGTGCCCGTTTTACAGGAGATTGACTCTACATGGAGATTCTTGGCACAAGAAACGGCCGTGTTCACAGTTACTATGGGCAAATTTCGATTGGAAGCAAGCGACGGGCGTTTTGAAACAGTTTGGTCTTGATGATTTACACAGTTTACGACGAGGCAGTAACAAATATTCAACCACGAATAGACGCACAGCGCAACACAACACTACAACTACACGTACTTGCAAAGCCGCATTCAATGCATTTTTTAGTGGTATCTGTCACACCTAATGTCATCCCGATCACGAATACGCCAGTTCCCTATGCAAAAAATTCCAATACTTTGTACTCTCATATTCAAAATCCTGCGGACATTATACCCATGACAAGTGACCTGTCCTTGCAGCAATTATCCCTTGACCCTCCCGCCGGTTAAGATTGCTCCTCAACGTGCCACACAAAATACATGTGCAGGTTCCAGCAAACCTCTGCACAAGACTCCCAAGAAACGAAGCACAACATGCGCTCCTTCCAGCAGGGTGTAGTTGGCAGACGATTTAAGACTGACACAATTTGTATCTCGCTGAAGCTGTAAGATGGACGCCCCCAAAACATACAGAACTAGTTTTCTCGTCACGCTTCGTCGTTCCTTTGGATCCTAGGATCAAGAGTTTTTTTTTTTCTTAAAAAAAAAATTGATTGGAACGGTAGCGGCTTTGTCAACTCACACCACTGCGTTGGCGGATTAACAAAATATCCATTGATTCATACCCGCAGTTGTAACCTCACTGCATTCGTTTTCGTTTTCTATCATCATCACCACGTGGATCTTCGTCCTCATCTGACCTCTCAGCCGTGTCACTTGGGTTCAAGATGTGCGCCATACTGCCTCTTCTGGTCGGAGGCGCCGATGAATCTTTGAATAGGGGCCCTTTGGTGTCCCTACTGCCTGCCGAATTCCAGGACCACCCACCAAATGCATCTCCCCCATTGCTACTGCCATTTGCCGGTGCATGAGGGGGCGGGGGAGTGGTGGGTCGGGAATGCGGATGAGAATGTGAAGCCGTCTGTAGCGAGTATGTCGATAAGGACTCTCTGATACGCTGGTCCTCTGGAGCCACTCTTCCAGGTGACGACGGCCATGGGCCAGGAGGCGCGTTAGCCGCCGAGAAGGGGGAGGGTCCAGGTTGCCATCCATGGGCGCGAATGTCTGCAGCAGTGTGTCTTCGAGCCAGGTTGCTAGGCGGTGTTTCCACGTTTGAAAGAGGATGCGGACCCGAAGGTGGCGGAGCCGCAGCATTGCGGAGAGGCGAGGATTGTGTAGTGCTGCTGCCACCGATGGAGCCATATGGACGTCGCGCTCCGAGTGTAAGAGACGATGGTACACCGGGCCGATACAAGGGCTGCCCTCGGGCTTGGGACTGCGGTACTGTCAGTCCACCAGCTGGTCGTCTGGAATCATCCTGTGGCAATTGCCTTGGCGACACCGGAGCATTGTCGACGTTGCTGAAGTATTGCTGTCGACCCACAAATGGCACATCTTGAGGCTCGTCAACTGTCCGAATCATATCGGCCTGTCGTTGTATCTCTCCTTGGAGACTCATCACTGGAAATAGATTAAGAATCAGTATTATCATAGATAGACAAGGTATCTGTAGTAGAAAGAATGGCAGCGGAGTTGGGGAGATGATCGAAGGCTACACGATGTGATTTTTGAAACAACTTACCTTCACGGTGAATTGCACTATCCAGCGGCACTAGCGATATCATGGCCCGAGCCAATTCTTGGTTGAAATGCAGCAATCGACCCATAGTTTCCATCACGGTCTGATTTTTCACGTGCATGTAATGGGCGGTTTCTTCGCTTCGTTGTAATCGTGCGCTTACGTCGTAGAGGGTGTGCTCTAGATTTGCAAGCCTCGCATCGATGCTCTCTGGGGGGACTTGAACGGGCTCGGCAGGTGTACCGGGTTGCGAAGAGCCGGGTTTGGTGAAGTTGGTCTCGCGATGAACCAGAGCATGACGACTAGCTCGTCGCTTGATATCACGCAGTCCAGCGATATCACCCCGCTTAAAGCTGCCATTGCCATGTTTAAACTCCCACAGTGTGGTATCCGGATTGCCGGTGTGGAAGACATCTCGTTCTAGGATCATTGTTAGTGTTTCAAAGCCATGGCCCTACACGCGGAATGAGCTCTCAATCAAATACCCTTATGAAACCCATACATATTTAGCTGGCGAACAAACGACGAAATATTTGTGTGTTTGAAATATTGTCTATGTTACGATCAGCAGGCGTATAATTGGTCATCTCAAAATAGTCAGGACATACGACAAGACTTTGGAAAAATCAGCAGTTGGGGACATGACAAAGCTCTCCGCATTGGAAGACCATGATATCAAGTGCTGAATACTAGAATCCTCCAGCATGCTGCAAAGCCGCGTCAGTAACACGTCCCTTTGAAATCTTCAAGTGGCAAAAGGTTCCCAATCTCACTTATATAGCTTGTGAATAAAGGCTGTTTGTACAATCTTCGGCTGGTGGACAGCAGATGAGGCAGCTGTCGGCGGCGCAGGCATATTGGATGACGAGTCAGCAGGGTTTCGGTCATTGTTGGGCAGTTGGTTCGGCCGATTGCTCAGCTTGCCATTGGTCTCATGGTCGGCTACATGGCTCGGAGCAGAAGCGGTAGGAGGAGAAGTGATGTCCATGGCGTCGGGGGCAGATGTGGATGCGGATGTGGACATGGTGACGGCCAGCGCGGGGACGGGAACAACGCGAGTACCCATTGACCCCTCTAGTTCGTCTGTCGGCGGTTACTTTGGCGCGTGTTGGAGGAAGCCCAGTCGTGGCTATTCCTTTTGGCTACAGCCATTGATGCGTTAGCATGACAGACGGTCAAGTGAAGCAAATCTCGCAAGTAGCTTGCGCTTGCGAAACTCGACTGAAGCACGGGTCATCTGGCGGGGGAAGCGGGCCAGCTCACCTCATCTCCACCGAGAACGGCGACCGGGCCAGTGCAGCGATATTGAACAAGAGATGCAGAGGGAAGCCGGCGTTAAAAACGGCAGCGTAGGTTCGAAACGGGCGGTAGTGGGAGCTTCGCAAGTGATGACCGCGGCGGAAGGGGAATGCGCCGCGCGGCGAAAGGAGGCTGTCGAAGGACTCGTGGATCGCGATGTCAGTGGGAGCTATCGACTACGGCTGTCGCGCGACGTCGCAAAGTGATGGATGGAACCGCTGGATGCGCCGGGCGCCGATACGGTCGACGATGATGCGGTCGACGCAATGAGCGCGCCAAGAAGGAGGCGGACGTCTAAGGTTCCGGAGCTTTTAGAAGCTCTCACGAAAGTTCTAGAGTCGCGAGGAGGCCAAGTCTGGGGGACCGGAGTTGATGGAGGTTGGTTGGGAGAAGACTGGAAGAGGACTGCAGGACTTTAGGAAGCAGCTAGGGTCAACTGGTCCGATACTCCGGACAGCGTACGGAGGACCGCCTGCTGCGTTCCTCTAGGCCAGATAAGGCTTCTGTTGAGGAAGGTGCAGTCCAAAAATGGCGCCTGGGGTGCTCAAGAGAACAATCCACCGCCTTTAGAACTTGGAGGCCACAAGGGCAGCAAGTACCTGGGCAAGAACGACGGTATCGGGGCACGTCTGTGGCCCGGGCAAGATACTCGGGGTTGTGAAGAAGGTACGGGGTACGTACTCAATATGCAAGTACTGTGCCTAGGCGGTGGCAGTGGAAGGAGCCGCTAAGGATGCTGAAGTGCTCCACGGAAGATTGAATTAATATTGACTGCAGTTATTGCTTACTTAAGTACGATACCTAGCAGTTACTGAAATGCCTGGACGTGCGGTCTGGTGGGATTGACAGTTTGCGCAGGTACTACACGTACTATCCCGGTACTCAGGTACCTAGCAGGTAGCTGTGGGGAGGGCTTGGGGGAGCACCTGCTCTGTATCTCTTTAGCTGTTTTATGGCTTGTGGTACGTCTTCGTCTTCCGCTATACAATTTTCCTGGGTAAGCGAGTCCCCGCAAGCCAAAAAGCAGCTAAAAAGATACAGTCTGTTGACGGGAAAATATGAGGAAGGCACCGTTGACCCGAGCAAGGCCCTTCCTTGCTGTGGCCAGCAGCGCAGCCAGTAGTAGCGCCGGGACATAGACCCCGCTGGAGCTTTCTGCTAGATTACGCCCCGAGCTACCAGACACTTTGAGATGTGGAGGCCCGGACGACCAACAATCTGCAGGAGATGCAGCTTGGCAGTTGAAATTAGTGATGGATGCACCAACGTCAGCACCGTTCGTGTCAAAACATTCAAGGCACAAGGGTCCAATGTTATGGGCCACGACCCATGGCAACTGCGTTTCCAATCGTCTTTGTAGTATTTTGTTACAGAGAACCCCCCCACGACGAACTGCCAAACGTTCATCCTTGGTCAAGCCGTGCTCAGGCGACGACACGACTCGAAGGCAACAGCCACTCGGACATTGCCCTCCGTGCATTGGGAGCTTCGCAGCTGCCTTTTTGTCCCATTGGCCGTTCAATGTATTGTACTTCGTACATGTAGATACAGAGTCCGGACATGCCACAGCTCCGGTCCCACGCATAATCCCCGCCCTCCCTTCTGTATTATTTCTTTCTTATCATTTAGACCATTCCCTCCCTTGCTCCATACCCGAGTCAATGTGTTCGACGGCGACGCCGGTTCTCGCTCCATACAAGCTCCATACGCACGAAGTATTCGTTCCGCCATGGATACCTGGCAGCCTGCTCCGTACCAGCCCAGGCTGCTTCTCCAGGTAGCCAGTATTCATGCTCAGCTCTTGATTGCCGACTAGCGACATAAATATATGGCCTGGCATTCGTGGACCAAGGATGAGAAGTTGGGCACTAGGTATGGAGTACCCGGTTGCTTATTCAAGTGCGGAGGTGATATTTTGCCTAGAAATTCTCCCTTTGTACGCTGGATAGAACAAGGCCCTTTGCTCCTGGCTTTTTCGCGTTCCCAAAAGCTGATGGTGCGCCAAAATCAAGCCTTACAACTAACTATCCATTGATCTACGCCCGCTGTATTTGATCCCAGTGGTGCCTCTCGTTCGGCTCCTACCTGTGCAAGTTTGCCTGTTGGAGGCTGAAAGACTCGTTGCTATATCTGTCTCCACCCATTCCATGGTTACGGCAACCAGCCGGACACGAAGCCGGACCACCTGGCCACCAGAGGCCATGCAAGACGTCCATCCCCCGGCCCACATGGACTCCGTACAGGTTATCCCAGAGGGTAAGGTGACAAGGGAATGCCAAGAGTTATGTTGCTCTAGTTCAGAGCGAAGCATTGAATTTCTCCAAATGCCGTGCTCTGCTACGACTTGTTTGCTACCGATTTGAATCGTCCCAAAACTTGATCGAGTGCCATGCCGATCAGATTTGATCTGCTAGCGCTCTTCTTGTCGATCTGGAACCATGGGTAAGGCCATAGGGACCAAGAGTTGAGCCTTGCTCTCCATACCTGTCTGTGATCGGCCAGAGCGAGCAAGGGAGCAGCAGCCCGCCGCGGTTGATTAGTGGTCTGCCAAGCTAGAGGCGCCGCCAGATGCGATTCATATCCGCCAGATGTCGTTTATTCCCTGGCCGTAGCGATTCTTGAATTTGAAACCGTCCCAGTGTCTCCATCCCATGTTTCCATGTTCAAGAGGCAAGAAGTTCTTTGAAACAAACGCAACCCCAACCGTCCTTCTTCGCCATGGTCGTGTACTCCATGGGCATGTTACGATGCCATGCCTCAGCCCAATCAAATGGGGGGCGTCATAATGTCGGCCGTTATCGCACGGGAGGTCTCTTACGCCCTGCCAGGATATTAACCGTCCTTCTCACTAGCTCCCTGCTCCCTGCTCCCTGCTCCCTGTCCTGGCCCCCTGTCCTTGCAAGTGGCTTGCGGAGAGAGCATCGACGCCCCTCATGGATAGTAGTGGCCTCGGCAAGGAGGAGCGATGAGCATAGGACCACAGTGAGATCCATCAACAACGGTTTCGCCAACCTGCTGTGGAGGCTTGCATCGTCACGCATTGACACGAAAGACGGCGGCGCCGCTTAACCATGTCCAGACAATCCGATGCGAGCTGCTCGAAGCTGCTACACAGCCCGGCCTGGAAAGAGGTGTGTGAAATTTTGTACGAGTGCTAGAATTCGAGTTCCCTGTCGAGAAAGCCTTGATGTGACGCACATGAGCCAGGAACAACCATTCAGCCGGAATCAAACCTCTGTCAATCAATATGTGGGCTGGAGCTGAATGGCTGGCCCAACCGCTGAAGAATGCACATCTCGCCGTGAAAATGTTTCGTTGAGAGCAGCAAGGGAATCCCACAGTGGCAGTTCGTCTTGGAATCAGTAGCATGACTCCCACGGTGTAGTGGGACGGGAAAGATCAATATATGGATTTTGGCGAGTCGAGGGAATATCCGGCTGCTGTGGTCCTGTGGATGAATCCTGGACCCCACGGTGTTCACAAAAGTTCTCAGAGTTCCAGTGTTTTGGAAAGAGAATTCTATCCCTTTAGACCCGCCGCAGCCGGCTGGCAAACTCAATGGGAGCTTTCAACATCACCTGCAACGAGTAAAATCCTGTGTCACATCTGTAACAGGTCAAGTTGGTCAATAATACCGTTGACCTTTGCTGCTCCTGCACAGGCACTGCGTACCTAGGTAGTCAAGAGTCCCACTGCAACGCCATAGGAGTCACGAACAAGATGAATTGGAAGAATTGGAAATGCAAGTAAAAAGGAACGGAAAGAAGGAGGCGCTTAGGGCGATTCCTACTATGCAAGCCGATATAAGCAGTGGGAGGCCGGAAGTATTTGGCTAGACTAGAACATGGCCATCACGGTTTTATACTATAATAGACTACAGAATAGCAATACTTGTTAATTCGTAGACAATATATTTTTATCAGATTAACTCGGTAGTACTCTGCATGGGAACCCTGGCTTTGGCTAACTGTTGTGCCAGTTTGGTGCAACCCAACCGATTCCAAGCGCTGCTGTCGCGAAGCTGGGTCAGAACTTTATCATGTTAACTTCCAGAATTCCATCTTAATTAATGCGCGTCATAAAGCACGTTAATCGAAGATTATGGCAACGTGCCTGATTTTACTTCCCGTCTATTTTATTTAATGCGAATTAAAATGGCGGCTCTAACGTCCCCTAATGAAGTGGCGCAAAGGCACAAGGGATGAATGACTGCGGCTCTTCATGGTGAGCATAAAATTATGAACGAATACTGCGTACGGAGTAGTTTGAGCAAATTTTGCTCAGACATGAATCCGGCGCTTCGCTAGACAGGAACTTTTCTTCTTCTTTTTGCTTTTCCCAGAAGACTAGAAAAAAAAAAACGCCACAGTTACGTACTCCGACGCGTTTTGCAGTCTTCTCAGCTACGGGCACTGCGCTAGTATCCGGTGCTTCAGCAAGGATCAGTTGCTTTTTCATGGCACGCATGTCAGCGGGGTTTCCGACCTCCAGCAAGCCCATTACCAACATTGAACATCCTCCCCAGGCGCGCCCGGGGTGGACCCTGTCGTCGGAAACAGCAGCACATTTTACCCGAAATAAGCTTCCCAGGAGGCCCAGCTATCCCTCCAGCCCTCTCAATGCAATATCTACACACTAACTGCCGGGAGGCGGAATGTAGTGGTGGTAATCCTCCGTTAACGGCGTGGGATCCGAGATCAGAGGCTTTCCGACTGTGAATCATGACCGCTGTCAATGCCAACCTACCAGGCATTCCACAACGGAATATACTCGCCTATTGAGAAGTACAGTACACGAATATACGGCGGTATTTGCATGGTGCGGTCTGATCAAATACTTTGTTGTCTCCTACTGGGCCTGCAGGCTACTACCTGGGGATCTATCTAATAATAAACATGCACAGGTACCAGGCTTGTTCCCTCTTGCTCTTCCATGGCCCGTGACCAATGCTGCGAGTATGGAGCACCGCGTAGGGGCCTTGATGGGACCTGACGGATTCGGCCAATCGCAGCGTGTCCCAGCTACCAGGTCGATGTGGCATATAGTTTTGCGGCAGAGAAAAACCTTGCAGCACGTCGGTCCGACGTTGCATGCTTGACGCCCGAGTTGTTTGGAGAGAAGCGAAAAAAATCCAGCCTTGACATGGTGTCTTTGCTGCTGTGAGTCGACCATCAGGGCTCCAAACCCATGTCCCTCGCGTCCATGGCTGCCGCGGAATAGTAGCAGGGATCCTGGTTTTTGGCTGGACAACCGGAGCTCACAACCATACTTGCAAGAACGAACTCTGTACGTTGATAGTTGGAGAATACACTCTAAATTCAGGGAGAGAAGTCGTGCGTTTTGGTTCTATTAATACATGGGCACCACAGCTACGACGGGCAGGGAACAACAGTAGCACAGCATGAATAAGCTCGGGAGATTCATAGACTCGTATCCAAACTACCAGACCATCCCTTACAACCCGCACCGACCTCGTCCGGTCTTATGTTCAAATAATAACAGCGGTCAAATCAAGCACTGCCCTCCATAGTTAGAAGCCCTCCTCGTCGTCCATACCGCCAACCCTCTTCTCGCCAACCTCGCGGATCTTTTCGCCCAAAACGGTACGGCCGTACCGCTCGGCCACCTTGCCCGCCGCCTCCATCATACGGCCTGTTCTGTCGCGCATAAGTTCCACCATTTCGAGGGCACGCATGCCGCGGTCTTCGCCCTGGCGACATTCCACCGCTAATAATTGCAGAAGAGTCTTGTCGATTTCCAACTCGATACGGGAGAGGAGGGATCTTTGGGTGTGGTTTCCGGAGGTGGCATCGACGAGGTCTCTTAGTTGAGCGGCTTGAACGCCCTTCAGCATAAATTGCTGCTCGAGCTTTCTCGTCTCAGAGTCTTCGTCGTCGTCTTCCTTGTCTTCGTCCATGACTTCGTCTTGCTCCTTCTCGGCGTCATCGCTCTTCTTCTTTTTGTCGGACGGTGATGCCAAAGGTATGGAGAAGTCAAATTCTGATAGCAGCGGTCGAGGGAAGTAGGGGTATTTGTCGCCTCCCTTGAGGATGATGCAGTGGAACTTGTGGTCTGCGACGGCAACTGGAAAGTACGTCTCGCTTTTTCGGCCCGACGCCAGACGCGACAGGAGTTTGGTGTCCAGCAAGGGCACCCAGCACGCACGAGATGGTTGACGCCAGTGAAGCAGTGTAAGTAAGGTGCCCGTAGAGTCGTAAATGCATGGATCCTGGGACAGCGTAAGTAATCTCCCAACGTAGCAAATAATGGAGTTCTGGGATAACCTACGCCGTTATCTGAAAAGAAGACACTTTTGAGTGTTGCCCCCTCTGGTAAAGCGACTGTGTCCTCGTTTTGGCAAATCTCATCGCGTTTGATATTTTCAATCGTGTAGAGTAGGCGGGCGGTCCCATCAGATCCAACAGGGCCATTGCCAATTGTGAGCACATAGTCTCTCCAACTGGCGCAAGTTACCATGGGTGAACTTTTGGGGCGATACACTCGGTAGGGCATTCCAAACAGAGTGAAAACTCGAACGTAGTTGGCGGACGTGGTTACCGTAATGAACGACTCGCTCAAAGACATTGCTGTAACAGCTTCCCCTTTGGGTAACTGTGTTCGCCAATCTGATCGTTGCGTCCAACTCTCGTGTGGTCTGTAGAAAATGTAGGCAGGGGCGTCATCTTTGGGTGGACTTGAGAACAAGGTGCCACTCTCGTTCAGACAAGCCTTGTCATAGAGAAATGTGTCTGTAAAATGGAAGTCTCGCTGGAATTCGTGGTCATAAAACTCCACTGTAACTGTATGGTGCGAATCTTGATCCACGGTCCACACAAATCCTATGAGATTCAGGCATAGGTATTTCCTGTTTCCCATCCAAGGAGTCGAGCCGGGTTGAAAGCATTCGTGGTGCTGTGGTTGCATGAGATGAATCCTCTTGCTTGACGGACCGCCAAATACATCGTCCGGATCTCGTCCTCGTTTACTTCCTCTGCCAACAGCATAACCCGCCCCGTCATCGTCGACCACAAAGCCATCATCTTCCCCATCGTCATCAAGCAAGGAGCCAATGCTGTCCAACGATCCCCTACGGGGCCGGCTAGGAATCGGTTGGATTTTGTGACCATTGACGGGAAGTTGCTGCCGATTTCCTGATATCTCGGATAAAGGATCGTGAATGAATGGTGCAGGTTGTGTGTTGAGTTTCAGTAATGGAGAAAACTGGTCATGGAGGAAGTCCGAGTAGATGAAAACTTCGCCGTCTGTAGTTGCAAATGACAGAATATTCTTGGACGGATGCCATGCCAGATCGACTACATTGGAGTAGTCATATCGTTGAATTACACTTTGTGTCTTGGTTTCCCAGACCAAGACCTTGCCGTCCTTGCCCGCCGAGGCTAACAAGGCACCATTTGGAGACCAGGAGAGGGCAGTTATGTCGGACAAGTGGCCATCAGCGAAGCGTCTCTGCTTCTCCCAGTCGTTCTTGGAGATAACTTGGATATCTTTGGTCGGGGTTGGCACGGCAAATGCACGTCCATCGGGATGCCAAGCAACTTTGGTTGATATCTCAGAATCAGAGTCCACAGTCCCAATGATTCCATCCACTTTGCGGATAAGTTCAGGTTCCTCGGAAGTCAGGGAATAAATATATATGATGCCGTCGGTACAAGACAACGCGGCTAGCCTTCCCTGGGGCTCCAGGGCCACATGTCTGGCAGGCTTGCTGTGCTCTCGCAAATGCTTCACCCGTGTAATATCCTTCGTGCTGACAATCTTGACACTAAGCTCGTCACTAGCAACGGCGCACCATTGACAGTCACGCGTTAATGCAACGTCTCTAATGGGAAGAGTAGCACGCAGAAGAAAGCGTTCAAAGTTGGCGGCCTCGATGTTGTAAAGACTGACGGTGCCGTCTTCGGAACCAACGACAAAGAAATCCTCCCCCGCTGAGATGGACACGTTTTGCTCCTGACAGTCGTCTATATTTGTAGGCTCTCCGTCAGACCCGGTTTTGTAGAGTCGAATCGTGTTGTTCGAGCCGACAGTCACCAGTCGACTGCCATCCGTCGTATACGCACACCGGGTAGTTCCCTGGGTATGGGCAGGCCGTGGCCGTGGCCGCGATGCTGTCGAATCCATTGTTGCGCAAGTAAAAGTTTCCTCAAAAGACAAAGTGAATCATTCAAGGCCCCTCGATTCATGTCAGAAAGGCCTGAGGTTTCCAAATATGGACATGGGGGATAATTGCGTGAGACGTTGATCTTGGTAGTCCATCGTGGGAGACGCGTCGAGCGCGTTCCAATTAATTGAGACGCGTGACGGCCCCACGTTCGCCCACCAAGAGCTACGGACGATTGATTGGCCTCTCAAGTGTTGCAGCCTCGAACTCCAGAGAGCCGTGGAAAGCTGCCCCACCATATCCCACCGACATGCCTCACAACACAACCGCTCTCTCTCTAGCAAGGCGGTGGGTAGAAAGTTGACAATGGTTAAAAGGTTTGATTGTTGAATGTCGAGCATTGGGCAAGGGAAGAATTCGCATTCATAGACGACACATAAATCACGGCATTTTCACTGAATCACGCACATGACCTTCTGAGCAAGCACCGAGGATGGAATCTGCTGACCCAGACCACTTCTTTGAGACCGAGTGAGTTTGATCACCACGCCTTGCAAGGGAATCTTTCAAGGACCAAGAAAAGCTAACTCCAAGTAGTGCGTCTCAAGCACAGAGAGCGAGGAAGGCCGCCAAGGCTGGGAACAAGCATGGTGACCCTTTGGAAATGAAGTCCAAGATTCTGGCTGCGGTTCCAGACCCAAAGTCACCCTTGTCGGGCATATTTATTGCCGAGTCTGCAGGTTTCGTTCGGCAAGTCAAATTGACTGTATGCAACCTGGAAGACTGTGCACTATATCTTAGTACTACCTGCTGACTGATGTGTACATAGTCCTCCGAACCACAAGCGACGTATCGTGGCCCAAAAGCTCCAGTTACTTGTCTGGCAATAGGGGGTGCGGACAACAAAACTATTTTTGCAGGATCATGGGACAAGGATATCTGGTCATGGGACATTGCGTCGACTCAGCTTGGACGCAAATACAGCGGCCACTCGGATTTTGTAAAAGCAGTACTTTGCGCCAAGCTCAAAGACAAGGATATTCTCATCAGTGGTGGAGCCGACAAGAAGATTCTCGTCTGGGATATCGAAACAGGTCGTAGACTGCACACCATTCAAGATCCCACGACAAGCATGCTCGCCATTCAACATTTAGCTTTGGATCCGGTACTCACCACCCGGGAAGAGATCGTGTTGGTAAGTGCCGGCAGCGATCCTCATATTCGGCGATGGAAAGTTGGTCTTGATGGCTACGAGCAAATAACAGAGGCATTTCACGATCGTCCTAGCGCTGAGAGGTTAACGATTGAGGAGCACGACACGAGCGTCTATAGGGTGGTGTTTGACGTGGATGGGGAGGATGTTGACTTGTGGACTGCAAGTGCAGACGGAACGGCAAAGTGCCTATCTAGGTCCCGGAACTTTGTCGCTGAAGATGATCTGAATCATGGTGACTATGTCCGGGCGGTTCAACCAACCGAACAATGGGTTATTACAGCTGGAAGGGACGAACATGTCAAGGTGTGGGACAGAGCCACGGGGAAGCTCTATTGCTCTCTGGAAGGCCACTTTGACGAGATCACAGACCTGGTACTGCTTCGCAATGCTGAGGGCTCACCCGAGAAAATCTGTAGCGTCAGTATCGACAGGACGATACGCACCTGGCCGCTTCAAAAGACGGATCTGGATGATGTCGTCAAAGAGGTTGAAGAAGCCAAGAAGCCAAGTATCAAGGAGGCCCAAACCGGCAGCGAGAGTCTCCTGACAGCTGAAGAGGAAGCAGAGCTGGCAGAACTAATGGATGACTAAAGTTCTACGGAGTGCAACACTCGAAGAAAGGAATAGACCAAGTCAAGCAACAGCATTGTCCACAGGAAATCAACAACACTGGAGTGACGTGCATTGCAACCTCCACATTTGCATTCCGTTGAACAACGCGCAGTGCCCTGCAGCGAAATGGCCGGTGCCTGGTCTCGCCAGACATCAACTAGAAACGTGGCAGAACATCTAGCCTTTTGTTCGACTTGGGCAGTACTACTCCGTACAATGATTGAATTGCTACACGAGATTACAAGCGACGGAAGCACCGAGCCGGGGAGTGAGCCCCAAAATCAATGTCTCAGACGACAATCAAGGGGATTTGGCCGAGGAGCAGGGCCTAGATCGGCTAACAACTCATGTCTTTTCGTTTGTGGCGCGACCCTGCATATTTTGAACACACGGGACAGAAGAAAAAGCAACAGCTCAAAATACAAAGCCGCGTTTTGGTCAACACACCCTCTTTTGCGGCACGAGACACGAAGTCCACGCCACATGGTGTAACAATCGAATTTCGCGTTTTGGGCCAGTGTCTGCATGTAGAACGCCCTGTGGCTGCAAAAGTCAACGTAGATAAGAAAATCTCTCGATTCTTGTTCGACATGATTTGCTGACCCCATGATAGGAAAGCTCGGTGTTTACCGCTGATTTTGTCCAACTCGGCAAACTTTGAGCTAGGCAGATACATGAAACAAGATTTGCCCGATATATCGATTGATGGATACCTAGTTGTCTTCGTATATCCACTCCTTCTCCCAATCGTGATACCTTTCCTGTACTACCCTGTTCCATGATTTAATGCGCCGCCATGACTCTTGGCTACATCGTTTAGATCTCGATAGTATCCTACGGGGGAGTCAAGAAGTATATTTTCAGGCGGTTGGATCGAGATTGAGAATGGGATACTAGCTGCTTCCCAGCTAGCACTTAATGGCGCGCAGCTTCTCTAGCCACAATCTGCACGATTGTTTCAATACTAGCTACATGGTGCTGCATGGTTGTGGATATGGCTAACAAGCCGTTAACGTTACCGTGTAGGGATGATGGAGAATGCTGGGGAAGACTTGCCGGCCGAGGGTCAGGGTTTGTCGGCCTTGTCTCAATGACTCGCACCGCACAATGCCGACAAAACAATATTCTAATTGATCCTTGCCGAGGACATTTCCGAGGTCAAGTACTACTAATTACTACCATCGCGAGACAATATTTTTCTTCGTGTCTTAGCTTTGGCTCTTTCCGCGGTTTGAAACATGGCTTCCCGTCATCAACCACATAAGCTGTCTCGAAAACGACGCATTACCAGCTGATACGCCACATGATTATTTGCGGATCTGTCAGAATCAACAGGTGTGCGGGGTGCCCCGTGCCGTAAAGACAACCACCAACGGTACTTCGTATTGGCGCATCGCTCACGACACTGGCCTTGTTGGTGGGCAAGAAATGCCACCCGATCATACCCTTGTACACTATACCAGCCCAAAGACATGCACATACTCCGTACTCCGTACCGCTCGGCCATATTGCAAAACATTCCGAGAATAAATGGCCCGCCATAGGCGAACACTCAAAAAGACGGATAACCTTGCTCAATAGAGAATGTTGTCGGGCTCGTCAACTTCCTTTCACTTCAGGGGTACTCCGTACATCAAGCCAAGAGGGCACCGAATCTACGTACTAGTACATGATAGTGCGAGTACTCAGGGTAGTATTCCGTACGATACGTGGACAAGATTCGTGACTGGATTTCCTCGAGATCTCCTTTTCCGGCGGACGCTACCAAGCAACGCCCCCTTCGTGGCCACCATTTCTGGTTCGGGCATTTGGCATGGCTGCATAAGATAACCACGTAGGTAGGTACTCTTCCGAAAGGGCTCGAAGGGGGTTGCTGAAATGCGCCTTGCACATGTGCTGAAGTGACCGAAAACAGTGCCAGGTGAAGGCCGGTCTTCTACCTCTGGATCCCCTTTGGGTCAGTTTTGCTTACGATGGCAAGGATGTGTCCGGCATGATAGTAGACAATGATATTATTAACTTTATTACCCAGGTTACAAGATTTGTTGGATGCTCACGTGAGTACTGTTCTGGCATAACCAGAAGGACGACGCGCCCAGGAGATATCCGAAGAAACAGGTGACGGAAGTTGTGCTTTTGCTCTATGATCGGCCAACCAGGGATACTCTCCTCATCAATTAGTACCAACGCTTTATGGACGAGTTTGCAAACCCAAAAAAAAAAAAAAAAAAAAAAAAAAAAAACCCAGG